GCTTTCATCCAGCTTCATCCAAACAGCGTAGGACATGCCCCTTTCACGACAAATAGTGGTAGCTGGCGCTCCTTGTCGCCAAGTTTGACCATTGCTTCCAGCTTTTTCTGGGCGCGTTTCATATTCACTGAAAAAACTGCTCAGCTGTAAACTCGATGGCTCCAATGGCACCGATGGAAATAGCTCGGCGAACTTGCCTTCATCAATGGTCGACACACTAGTGCCGGTGTCTAACTCCATATCGAGCGTTGCGCCGTTAATTTCAACCACAATGCGCATTGGCTCCGGACTAGCTGTGCGAAGCGTCCACAAGTCGAAACCTGCAGGCTCTTCAGCAGCGACAGGCAGATCGTCCAGGTTGTTCATGTGACTAGATCGGCTGTGACTAGACAGGCTCCGGTCGAAATTTCTGCTGCCCAGCTGAACTCTGAAAACTCTTGCAAGATGCCCTTTTTGACGGCAGTTGTGACAGACCGTGCTGCCGTGGCTACAGCGACGCGTAGAATGAGTTCTCCCACAACGAAAGCAACAGCTATCATTTTTCCTCGAGGCGACAATGTTCACTTGCTTCAGAGCTTCGTCAGATAGTAGCTGTGCTTGCTGACAGTTCAATGCACGTGAATCTTTACACGCAGCCTCCATAGCCACGACGGTGACCTTCGCAGTTTCGAAGGTTAAACACGTTTCTAGCAGCCGTGTTTTCGTGGTTACGTCATTGATTCCGCTGACTATCTGAAATATTGCAGTCTTCAGCTAATTTCTTCAACGAGGCAATGTAGTCACTTATGGTCTCCCCCTCTTTTGGATACCTTGAGAAAAACTTGAAACTTGCCACTACTTCTGATACGCGAGGGGCATAGTGCTTGCCATTGGTGGTAAAAATTTCGGTCAGTTCTGCTTAGGAGGGCCTGCTTGGTTCTATGAGGCCTCGTAGCCGAGAATAAGTCTCTGGACCGCAGCATGTAAAAAATACAGCTGTCTGCTTGTCGCTCGGGATGTTCACGATGAAGTACAGATGGGCCCGCTCGCGGTATTCCGCCCACTTCGATGCACTCGGGTTGAACAAATCCAGCTTCCCGACAACAGACATGACATGTGATTGTGCCGTGCTCGTCTGGTTCGTCAGTCAACCTCACCGCCACTTGTGATAACCGGGTAGTCTGGGGCCATGCCAGTGACCGGACCAAATCGCACACACATACGTATGCGGGTTTCACACTGACTGACTCGTCAAGTGCACCGTATTTATTTCATTGCAACATCGACGCTCTCGGGCGCCAGAACGTTAAACTAATCTTATCACACGTTGTGACAAGAGAAAAGGAGAAAGCAATTACAGCATGCAATAAACCTCTGTAGCTCTGCTTGTAATGGATGGATTGTAAAAAGTTTTTTGGCAGTTAATGTGCAAGGAAATAAGCTCCTTTACGAGTTTATTTCATGGCTACTCTAAAAAGTGTTGCAGGGTCCCTTTGAAACCATTCGGAAGAGAAAAGCCATCTTCTTTTTCCTCAGCCAATGTATTGATGCTGCCCCATCCTTTTAAAAACGCTCCACATCTAAGGTGATTTTGCACTGTCTCCAAAATCGGAGGCACCTGGTTTTACGTGGCCTCCGTGATCGGACCACCTATGACCAAGCTAAGATGCAATGTGATGACATCATCATGTGACGTGATCACAAGTTCACAAGTTCTGGCGATCTGTAGTGTCATCGTGTCGTCACATAGGGGCGTCTTTTTGATGCTACTTTTTGCATCACTCGTTCCCAATGCTGCTGGACACAATATGTTGCGGACGGTCAAATTTCGCATGAGGCAGGCTTTGGCTTTGATGAAAACTGTCTGCTTCAGCTTCACTGCTAGCTCCTGTAAATGCTTGTATAATGGGCATAGTTTTTCAATTTGGAACACTATGCTGAAAGCAGTTGGTCCAAGTATTAAAATAAACACAAAGCTTGATATAACAAAATATTGGTTATAATGAAGTAGATTAGGAATACTCGTGCAATATAGTATTAGGAATATACGCGTATAAGGAAATTTTTGATATTAAAAACATTTTTTTCTAAATGCAACTTTGTTATAATGAGGTTTATGTGTACAGTGTTAGTGGTTTATGCAATCCTTAAATGATCTGTTTCTGTGCTTTTGTCAGTACTTCAGGGAGTTGCAAGTAACGGATTTTCTCTAAATTATGCCTTTACTGCTTGCTCTAAACTGAAAATGTAACAACTGCGAGTTCATATTATGGCCAGTGTTGGTTATGTATTTATGTGAATATTGTTTGACTTCACATTGCCAGTGATTCGAAGTGCTGTGCAAGTCCACCCGCAGCATTTCCCAGTGTGTAAGCCTATTTTTATTTTTTTGACCAAACACAAAAAATTTGTCTAGTTCCAGAAAGAGTCGAAGAAAGTGTTCAAACACTTCTCGTCCAGAACAATGCATGGCATGGTCTTTTCAACAGTATCAGCAGACATTTTGAGGAGGTGACATAATTTTTAGTTGTGGGCTTTCACTTTTAATAATAATATCTGGGGTTTTACATCCCAAAACCGAGATAGATTATGAGAAATGCCGTAATGAAGGGTTAAATTTTTGGCCATCTGGTGTTTTTCAAAGGGAGATGGGAGTTGAAAAAAAGTGAATTTTCTAAAAAATGCCATTTTTTTAGCTGTCTTGATGAGATTAGTACATCTACTATTCTGGAAAAAAAGAAAAAAATTCAATGTCAAATCTATGTTGAGACTCAACAAGAAGGGCTTCAAAATTGTGTTCAAAGAGCACAAGGTAGCTGTTAAAAAGCTGAAAGAGTGCAGTCTTCGAGCACCTTGCCGCTGACAATGCGTCACTGCTCGGCAATGGTCGATCGCTTGAGGCAAAGAGACGGGCCTCACTCTTCAAATAATGACGGTTTTCTGTGCTGCTGCATCGCAAGAAATAATAAAAGGAAGCACGCTTTTGCCGCGTTATCCGAGCGCCACAAGTGGCTTTTAAATTAATTACATGGTACGGATTGGGTACTGTCATTGGCTGTTGCACGCCTGTATGTGCTGTGAAGCTTACTTGCAGGGTCCCTGTCTCGTCGAACAATGCTTTTTTCGTGTGTTTGTGTCCATTATGGATGAAAAAAAAAAAAAACGTAGCTCGCGCATTAGCTACACTGTCAGTGTGGAAGCATTTGCTACGGTGTGCTCTGTAGGAATGGGTTACGAGCAGCTGGTCCGATTTTTGGTTTGCATAAGCCAATGCATTACTCATTTGCAGCCATTAGCCAGAAAGTCATTATGCAGCAGTCGATACCATCTGTGCCAGTTATGTGAGGTCAAGGGAGCTCCCAGGGAGGGAAGTTAGCGGGGATGACATTGCCGTTATGTACGATGGTACATGGCACAAATGTGGCCACAATGGCATCAGCACTGTTGTGTTCCTCGACACAAAACTTAGTTTAGATCTCGAAGTCCTGTTGAACTTCTCCCTAGCTTGCAGTTGGCACAAGGCTCTGCCAGATGGAGCGAAAGAAGCTTGGCAAGCATTTCATGGCCTCTGTCTGTAAGCAAAATGTCTGTGAGGAGTTGGCTCGAAAGATCCCTGAGGGAAAAACTTGTGGTGCTGGTGCATTTTAGTGGCAGTGGCCACTACAAGAAGGATTGTTCTTTTTGGTGTGTAAATTTCATCACATTTAATGACATCTTTCATAAATAGAAATTCAATTTTAACTTTAAAACTCGTTTTTTCATAACACAGCTTATGCCTTTTTTTGTGCCCCTCCTTTTTTGGGTACTTCTGGCGCTCAGATCTGCATGAAATTTTGGCCAAAGTATGACAAATGCGATTATCTAGGTTAAATTTTAATATGTTTTTTATATAGTAAAAAGTTCTATGTAAATCTCTACTTGGGTAGGAGGGATATGGACTTTTTCACATCTCTTATTTTCCACGTTTATTACATATTTTGTATGCACTTTCTGATTAGTTATTTGCACACTATACTTCATTTGAAGCATTGTGAACTATGAATGGCAAAAAAATTACGGAAGTTTAGTAATAAAAACAGTGGGAGCAAAAGGCTTAAGGTTTTTACTTTGTCGCGTTGCAAAGCTAAAAGTATGCAAATCGGCCACAGTCCTCATCCGCTACCGGGTGAGGGGGTTAAACGTCACCGATCCCTCAGCGCGGCAGACAGCGGAGGAGGGGAGAAGACATGTCGGGACATGAGAACGGCAGAAAAGGCGGCAAAGCCCGCGCAAAGGCAGCGGGCTAGCCTCAATTACCACATCCCCCTCTCCTAATGTAGATCACTTTTGCCATGGAGACGTGCTCGTGGCACCCTGTGTACTTTTATGCCTGTGGCGTGGGTAAGCCCATTTGCTTTCCCGCCGCACCTTTGCAACGGGCTGTACTGCATTTTGGTGTTGCCACAGACAATAAAGTGTTGCGACTTTGAGCAGTATCGTGTTCTCGCCATGACGACGGTTAATGCGTGCCCTGCGGCTCGCTAAGACTTGACCCACGCTAGTGGCTGTACTCCTTCGGGATACGTGTCGCTAAAACCTTTATCAAAATGCGACTGCAGCAGCTAGAGTCGAACCCGCGAACTTAGTCTACATCTCAGCACCGTAACCACTGCTCCACTCTGGCAGGCTGCTTTCACTTTTGTATCAGATCTAAGCTGAAACCTACATTTCCTTCATGCATCAAGTCTGCGTTATCGTGTATGATAATACCACATGGATAATCCTCATGGCATGGGCATGCCAATGCTACTGATGTGCTCATTCGAAATTGTGGCTGAAGTTTGATGTATGTAATTTACTTCTAGATCGGGCTGATTTTCCATTTGTACTTCTTTTTTTTTGTTCCTTAAAATGCATCAACTAGTTCCATCAGCATTTTCATATGCGGTGCTGTACAGGTATTCAGTGCCATTAAACTGTTAGTGGTGTGAACTGGCAAAATCTTATTGTAACTGTTTTCATCTTGTCATCTTCTCACGCAGTTTGGTGAAAAGCACGAAACCTATCCATCACTGCCTCACCTTTATGAAGAACTGAAGAAGTGGGCTGGGGAGAAATGCATTCCGCTAGTGCGCGAGATCACTTTTGAGAATGCCGAGGTAAGTGGGATGTCTTCAATTTCACTTTTTGTTCTAGCACTACCAGAGGGTACAAGTTTTGTTGCTTTTGATAATATGCAGGAGCTGACAGAAGAAGGCCTGCCATTCCTGATCTTGTTCCACCATCCAGATGACAAAGAGAGCGTCGAAGAATTCACAAAAGTTGTCCATGAACAACTCCAAAATGATAAACGTATGGAGGCTTCTCAATTTCGTTTTTCATGCCATTCTTAGTGTTGTTCACTTAGTGTACCCTCCGAAAATTTATTGGCTTATACACCCGAACACAGCGAGCTCAGTGCTTGCTGCCATATTGAAAAGTGCGTGGCACCATCTGTTGCAAGCGCGGCGAAGCAACACCCTCAACTGCCACGCCAGCAGACGCTCTGCAAATCAAACGTGAAACTTCACAACCTGAGTCCGGCTGTAAGCATGTTTCGCGCTGTTCCTTTGATAGAATTTTATGCTGATTTCGTGTGAAACCTCGAGGAGACCTTCCTCGACAGTTCGGAATCTCTGCAGCACATGCATTGCAGGCTGCAGAAGCAACTTCATCAGGTACGTATTATCCGAATGAAAGAAATGGGAACAGCGGAAAGCGTTAACTGCGGCGTGCCTTGGCTGTGACAAAGTAGAATTTGTGCTGTAAGCCGGCGTCAACGTAGCGCTAGAATCTGGCTCCAACCTACGCTCATGCACCGCATGTGTATCTATTGGTAGTCCTGCCGGGGACTCAAAACACACACGCGGTGCAAAAGTGCCAGCCAGAACAAGATTTTAAAATGCTATGGGTTATGCCAGCCAAAAGCACATGTAGATTCGCCTAGTGACAGTCAAGGCATGTCGCAGTTTGACCGAGTCGAAAGTCATGATTTCCGGGCCGTTCACGTCTGCATCGTGATAGTAAAACATGCGTGGTGTGTGCACCCACGTGCGAGTCGTAATATGTATACCCTATTATTGACATGCGGCCTGCGAAAAAGTGTTGCAATAGTTTTGTGTGGCATACTATAGGCATACTGCACGCGAATCGCTGCTGTAAAGTGGTACAGCTGGAGTCGTGCTTGAATAAACACAATAAGCATACTTACTCATACACTTTACTGGTTTCGTAGTTTTTCCTGCCGATTGCGATTATATCCTAAGGCCGCAGAGCTCAGCGTTTTTCGTTGTGGACAGAAATCTGTGCAATCGCAAAACACCGCACCGGCATGATTCCTGCGATGCGCTGTGAACTTCACAGGCAGTGCTCAGCAATCTTTTCCTCTTGCGCTGGCTGTTGTCGCATCAGATGATAGTGCAGTGGTACCCAGATGACATTTTATAAGCAGGCGCAACGTGAACAGGCGCTTTTTCGCTTTTGAAACTCCCAGAGCCACTGCATGCCATGCTAGCGAGGTGTTCCTTGGCAGTTGAAAACAAATTATGGCGTCTCTGGGAGCGAGAGTATACCGCCAAAGGCGCCTGGGTGCGAGATGTGCGTGGTCTCATCTATACATCAATCTCTCTTGAAGGAGCGTGAAATGCCTACGAAATACCGTTACGATAACTAATAACTGTAAGGGAGCTACTAAGCAATCTTCTAACTTCACTTGCTTTGAAGTGACAAAAAGCTGAGCTAACACAAAATACACAGGCTATGCATGTGCACCTACGATGCAGACCTAGCATTCTTATTCCAACCGCCACACCAGGGGCTATGTTTTCAATTATCCAAATTCTAGGATGAAATCAGTGTCTGTTGGCTTCTATAAATCACTACATCTCTTGCCCTGTTTGACAGCAGTGTGCTTGTTAATGGTTAATGGTGGAAATGCAAAATCTCAAAAGTGGTTGTGTGAGTGAAAGTAATGACATAAGTTCAGCCGCTGTTAATGCATTGCAGCCAAGCAGACTGTACTCTTGAAGAGGGTACACGGCAGGTGCAATTAAGGAGTTTCTAATTTCTCTTGTGGGGCTATGCAGGAATCTGGCAACAGAACATTATGCCGGGCATGCGAGCTTTAGTGACAGAACAGTATTACCGTAGTGGTTTCTCATGACACTGGCATCTCATGCTTTCTTTTGAAGCAATGTACCGACTGGTATACTAAAATATGGGGAGCAAGCACTTGCTTTTATGGTCTCTATTTATTTTAGGCTCAGATGCTTTTGCGCTCTGCTACGAAATTGCAGGTACAATTCGTAATCGCAGCCGTCAGATTCTTATGGGGGCAGAAAAACCTTACACAAGGGAAATTGGCATGCTTTGGAGCTTTTTTTATCCCTAATCAATAATTGCTGTGAATCTTTTTGCCTTTCTGAAACGATTCACACTCAATGCTTTCATGGCGCAAACATGTCTGTATCTATGATTCAACCGCCTTGGAGAAACAGGAAAGCACCATGAATAAGTGAAAGCAAGACCAATAACAGTTACCGTTCAAGGACAAAATATGTTTTTCTGAGGGTTTCTACTTAGAGTATTGCACGTTTAGTAAATTTGTGGTGTAAATTAAGTGTTCATTGATTGTAGCGTTTCTAGCTGAGCCAAGGTTTTTGGGACAGAAAACTGAATGAGTTTTTGATTCTTTTATTTGTGCTTTGGTCTTTAGTAGTGACTTGATTGGCTAGTAGCTTGTGCTTATAATGTGAAAGCGTTACCTGACTCATTTTGCAACACTACTGTTATCTAAAATCTGTGGCTGAAAAACCATTGCGGTAGAGCTGCATAAAAGTTGGGTCATATTCATTTTTTTTTATTTAAGAAAAAAAAAGTTTCCACAGCGACTATTTGATCTTCAGGCCTACTGTCATTGCTACCGCTCTTAGACAAGTGCACTAACCTCTGCGCTGCTACTGCATACGGCAGTAGTGATGAATATCATTAAGGCTGTGCATCATGGCTGGGCTCTACCTGTAGGGCATTCACTACATGGTGCATCGTAGGAGTAGCTTCATTGCAAGCACATCGGATTTTTCATTGTCCAAATTTGTATCACATGCCACCTACATCATCAAGCAAAAATAGCAAGGAGCGGCTGCGAAAGCACCAGTTCACTGCCCATGAAGTGGAGACGATTGGAGATCACCAAAACCTTGCGAATTAAGCTGCTGCAGGGAAATAACATTCACAACTGAAGTACTGACCTGACAAATCTGAAGACAATGAGCTATGCTGAATGATGGCGATATGGCCAGTTTGTAACCTTGAATTCTTGCTAATTCATAAGCAGGAACATTAGTACACTCGGAAATACAGTGGTACAGCACTAAACTTGCCAAGATTAGGCCACAACCCTAAAATCGAGAATACACTCTGCAACAAGTAATACTCATGCGTTGACACACAATAATATTCTAAATGACCATATAGTTTTTTGCTCTAAACAAACTATGAACGAACTTTCAAAATTCACCATCTTAATGTGACAAAGTTTGTTTTAGTATACCAATATGGAATCTAAATGTAGGTTTCCTTCCAGAAACCTGTGAGATGTTTGTTTTTTGTCGGACTGAGGTGCAACAACTGCGCCAATTCTACCAATTTGATGCAATTCCCCATTTTTGCACCATGCAGCACCAAAATGCCCGACCAGCCTCAAAATTTTTCTCAGTTGCGCTAATTTCAGAGAGAAATAGAGGCCATGTACGTTGCCCACCTGCAGTTTGAGTCGTCAATCAATCCAAGCGTGCAGACTCAAACCTTAAACCATGGTAACTTAACCACGCTAATTTTAATCTCATTAGGTCAGGGCACTCGCGAGACGCGATCGACCAGATGAAGTAACAAAGCTGTGCGCCCATCAGTCCGCTGATCGCAACAGATATCTATCGGCGAGACAACGCATCTTAAAGACAAAAATGCGTTGCTGTAGCCACGAACGCTTCACAGGAAATATGAAGTTCCCAGTCAGCAAAAGCCGCTATGGCATGTTAGCAACTAAAGCTGGGAGCGCATACTGCGTTTTTCGCACATGAGCAGAGTCGACGTGCTGCGAACACAGCTGCGAACGCCGGCGTTTCCAGCGACCACGTTGGTCGCCATAGCAACAGCTCATAACATTTTTCTGTTTTGAATTTGCACTAGTTGCATCGTCCCGGCGATATCTGGTGCTAACGCTGGACCAACGGGCATGCGCCGCTGTTATTTTATCGGGTAGAATTCGACTTGCAAGCGAACCAAGATGTTTTACCCTAAACCCAATGCCCATCGTAAAAAGGGGGGGAGAGGTAGCAGTGTGCACAAATTTATTGGCCTTGTTCTAACTCGTACAGAACGCCGCCTATAGGAGCACTGACATCGAATTTACTCATGTCAAGGTTTTTGCGTCAACGAGTAGCGATCGATCCCCTAGTAGCAATTCGCGACCTAAAACACATCTGAGTGACGAATGAGTATCTGTAATATTGATTAATATATTCGCTGTCGAACGCGGTTCAAAATGGGTGGAAAGCCCACCAAATTGTAGTGCTGGAAGCGCTACCTCGCGGCCACGTCGGGGCCACTGCACAGCTGATGCCGTTTCCACAAAAAATGTTGACATCACACTGGCGTCTCGTCTGCTAGGAGCGCACGTACAGTCAGTCCAGCTATGTCTCTGAAAGCTTAGGTATGCCTCTGTCGCCAACATCGTCGTCCTCGCCGTCGTCGCGGTCAACATTGGCAAGTGCTGATAACAGCGTCCTCGAATTGGGTGTCGGCGCGATTCGTGACGATCCTTGCTTGACAAGCTCCGCGTTAAATACAATGTATTTATCAGTTTCGGCCGTACCGTCAGAGCTCAGGAACACCAACTACGCACCTCATATCGTGGACGTTTGGCGAGTGAATCGCTGCTTTCAGCTGCAGCAGGGCACACGGTAGAAATAGCCCTGGCTTCAAGATGAGGCGTCGTACTGCCAGTGTTCGCCAACACAAGATTTACCCTGTAGCAGCTCGCCGCAAAGTGAAGAGAGCAAATGTGGCTGTTCTTCACAGGCGTCCAGTCCCTCTGTCCAATGGTGCGTACAAAGTCAACCCACTGGCTGCGTTTAGGTTCGTGGCTTGGAAAGGCATGAAACGCCACGCACTTTCCGCGCCTAGACGTGAAGGTTTTCACTATGCAGTAGTACCCCGACATTCTGGCACGTATTGTCCCTCTGAAAACGCAAATCAGTCGATGCGACTCGATGAATCGCAGGCACGCTTTAACACAGCAATGAGAGCCACTAGTGAGAGCATGGCTGGGAGGCGGCTCCAAACACACTCGGAGATCGTTGACGTCATCTTTACTAGTGTATCGTCACTCAGGATGGTATTTGTGGAATGTATCACACCGAACACGTAGCACTAGTGTTGATGTTGCAGAGCAGTCTATTTTTCGTTTTTTCTCCTTAGCTTTTCTACGCTGTTTGACGTCCCATTGAAATAAAATAACTTTGAGGCGATGAATGCCATTGCAATTTGGCCAAGAAGACCTATGCATACCAAGTGATCGAATGGTGGGCACATCTTGATCTTGAAATTTCATGTCAGTGCTCCTTTAAACCACCTTTGCCGCAAGACACTGGTGTCCTGCATAAAAGCGTATTATCATTCGGAAGGGGCTGTTAACACTACACAGGACAGAAAATTTCGTTCAGTGGTATACTACTGCATAATTATGAGCCATAGTATGATCGCTGATGTCTGAATAAGTTACTGGAAATCATTTGGAGCAGTGTATGACACTTCTGCTGCCCTAAAAAAAAAAAAAAACTGTCCACGTTTTTTTTTTTTTTTTGCCACCCCTACTCTTTAGTTTCACGAATCTCTTGATTTTCAAGGTCGCCAGTTTGGCAGATCTACATTTTAATTCACGGATTCTGTAAAAGGGTTTTACTGATGCGGCCAGTGCTAATGTGGACTTTATCATTGTTTGGTCACTGGGGTAAATAGAAATGCTAGTTTTATTGAAAAGTGCTCATGTTTATTCTGCAGTATTTAGGTGATGTTGAATGGCTTGAAGATACATTTGTTTTCTAAATATAAGCCTTTTTTGCCCCAAATTTGGTCTTTGTGATAAAAAAAATAGATGTTTTATTTCACTTAACTTGTTCCAAATTTGCATTTTAGTGCTCCAAATGTAAGATTCTGCTGCTCCAAAAATTGCTCCCAATTCTGTTTAGGCTGTTGCACCTCATGTTAGATAATGTCTTAGTCACCGAGGAAAACATACCTAAATGTGCCCCAATACTTTGTAGAAAAGAAACTCATCACGATACTAATTGGGTTAGTATGAAGTGTATTATTGTATCTTCCTCCCTTTTACACTACTGTGAGTAAAATGGCACTCGACGGACATTGCTATTGTCTTTTGCTTGAAACACAGGCAGATGACTGGAAAGCATTCCCAGGCATTGGGGAATGCAGTTGTATGATGAGACCAGACAAAGCATGTGCTCATTGTGAATATGAACTGCTGCACATGTTCATAGTGTATTACTGTTTACCTTACTGATGCCCCCAGTAATATGCTGTTGGCTCATGTTGCTAGACTCAATATTTTAGCAGATAAAATTCACACTATGGACCCTGGATTTTATGCTGCGTAGAGTTCCAATGAGCTTTACGAGCCAGCAGAACTGACTTTGTCGGACAGTGTGATGCATCATAAGCCGTAAATATTAAATTTGGTTCTTGGGTGTGTCTGCCTGAAAAGATCAACTACCTGAAGGTCTGAAAGTGAAAATAAGAAATGTGTGATGCACCACACCTTCTCGAACTTGCTATTGCAACCTACAATGTAAAAGAGGAAGGAAGGAGGTATGGTCATGCCTTTACTATTCTTTTTGTGAATGCCCTACCATTTTTTTCTCCTGAGGTACCTGGCTGTAATAGTTCTTGGGTATAACAATGTAGTAACTTATCATTTGACTTTTGATACGAGTTGGTTTAGCTGTTCAGCCTGTGGCAACTGGGATGTTGGGAGCACTGGACTGAGTATTAATTGCAGTTCAGGTTTTGAAGCTTGTGAAAGAATACTTATCTGTATGTATGTCTACATCTTTGCAGAAAAAGTCCCATGAGTATTCCGATGTTTGAAAATAGATTGGTAATAGCTTGCTGGTTGTAGTACTGAGCTTAACTTAAAGCAGCAGGTGCACCACAGATGGTTGCCACAGTCCAAAAAGTTTGTATGCATGGGCTTATGAAGTATAACTATGCCAATACCCATGCTAGTTTATGCTGGTTTGACCTATTCTTTAGTGCTGCTCGTATTGATATTACAGATGCCATTAACCCCCTCATTGCGGATGGAGTCAAGTTTGCCCACCCTTTGCAGCATTTGGGCAAAACAGTTAAAGACCTCCCTCTCATTGCCATCGACAGCTTCAGGCATATGTACCGCTTTCCAGACTTTGCTCACCTGAAGTGAGTAGCTCTATTGTAATCTCTTTGCTTCTTTGAACACAACTAATTATGCATTCAGAAAGAACCTAGATCTTTATGTTAAATGCATTCATTTTACAGTGCTGATGCAAAATGCAAGAACTCGCCTGGAGCTCTTAGGTCTGGATGTGTGCTAAATACCAACCCAGTGTGGTCAAAATTAATCTGTAGTACCTCTATGGCATGCCTTATAATCTGATTACGGTTCTGTCAGGTGAAACCTTAGAAAATCTTTTTGTAAGCTTGTTATATAATTATAATTTTGCTTTGAAAAAGATGTACACAGCACATTGCTGTTGTCTTTGTGAGGTGCTTGTAGATTGAAATGTGATATGAAAGCTTTCAGTGTAAGGACTGGAATGCACAATAGGTCAAGATAATGATGTCATGTCGCTACAAATCTAGCCACTAAGGTAGTGTTGAATCTGACGTAAAGTTTCAAGTTGAAATCGCACTGATATGAAACAAACTTCAAGTGATCTAAATGAAGGTTAATACATAACTTAGCCCTAAATTGTTGCATTTCACTGAAAGGGCATTGTGCCATGCATGCTTTTGAGAGAAGGTGTTCACTTAGTCTCTGAATCTGAACTGGTTAATAATTCATTATCTATTATGCTAACTGAGAAAATCACCACTCGACTCATTTGCTGCTCTCAAAACATCACACATAGCCATTGTGTAATCGTTGTGCATGTGAGTGTGCGTAAGAATGCTCTGTAGTTGGGCGCCCATCAGAAAAAGGCATATATATAATTGTGAAACCTGCAGTTATACTCTCGTCGCAGGATTGAAACCCGGCTGTGGCGTTCTGAAATTTGGTAGGGGTAAAATTAAAATGCTTGAGGCCCTTGTAGAGTAAAGCATTGTTAATTTGAAGTCACTGCGACCATGACGAATGTTTGAATTATGCAGGTTGTCGAAATAACAGAACATACAAAAAGTGGGATGCAAGGAACTTGAAATTATTCAAGGTAATCGGGGCTGGTCGATTGCTGTGCTGGATAGTTTGCAGCTCCAAAGGTTATGTTTTCCAGCAATGCCTGGTCACAATTTTGCCGCAAACTAAGGGGAATGCCAGGCCTTGCTGCTGCCACCGAAAAAAAAAAAAAGAAGAGAGAACTACGTGATTAACTAAAATGTGCACTTGTGAAAAACAAGACGTCTTCACTGCAACACAGTAGTGACATGCAGGCAGCATGTCATCTGCATCTTACTGCGTCTGCACGTCATGGTGCGACCATTAGATTCTGGTAAAATAAAGATTTGAAATAATGGACATTGTGACGCAATTCGCGATGTGTTTTGGCCGGTAAACATTATCATTGAAGCTTTCAAACACACTTTTTTGAAGGAGGCAGTGCAGGCAAGAACTCCGCCTGCAGTGCTCAAATTACTGGAACAACTGACACTTGGGGGTTCGCATACATCGCGAATTCTGCCAGACTGTCCTTTATCAATTGCTTTTTCTTATCAGAAAGAATGGGTAAATCATGACGTGCTGACGGTGTGAGAAACATGCAACATACTGCCTGCACGTCACTGCTGTGATGCAGTGAAGGATGCCTTGTTTTTGAGCAGGCACACATTTCAGTTTATCGGGAGACTATTTCTTTTATATAATTTTATTTTTTGTGCTGGAAGCACCGAGGCTGGGGTGCTCCAGCTGCCATTCATCAGTATCACTACAGTACATTGCCTGGTTGCTCTCAAGGAATGCCATTTTCGTGGATTTGCGGCGAAATTGGGATCGGCACACTGCACCCAGAGTTTTTGAGTCAGCCAGACTGGTGCTGACCGGTGCTTCAAATTTACTAAAAATTGCTTGCGAAATACGGGACTGCGAAAGTACTTCGAACTAAGTGGAATTTCAAAATAACCGAGTACAAATTGATGAGGTTTTACTGTATTGAATATTTAGGTGCACAATAATAAACCCCAGATAGTCACAATTTCTAGACCCCTGCACTGCGGCTTTCCTCATAATCGTATCATGGCTTTTGGGATGTAAAAACCCCAACAATTATAGTATTGTGTTCATTTTTATTCTTGCTGTGGATGGTGCATCAGCTGAGCTGTGTGTGCCGTCGGAGCACATGCATAAGCAGCATGCTGAATCCAGTCATCTAGTGAACAAAGCTAGAAGACTGGCTGTGAAATCTCAAGCAAAGGCTAGTCTGCTGAAACATTGGAGCAGAGATTAGCCTTGTGAGCACGTTATAAAAAAGCCAAACATGCCACAATTGCTACACTGGGTACCGGGAGACTATCCTTGTTAGCATTTGACCCTTTCATCTCAAATTGCTTATTTTCAATGTGCGCAGGTGGTTTTTACATTTTGAGATGCGCAAGGTTATGATAGTACAAAAAAACTGAAAAAATCACTGCTCACACCTAATAGATAGCAATTACAGTGCCAATTAATTTAATAATTATTATTTAACAATAATATGGTAACTTTTGCCTAATTTATTACTTATAAAGTTATTTTGTTGGGATTGCATAATGCCCATTAAACAAGATTCAAATTTTCGGCACATAACAAAAATAAATTACCTAGCTCTGCATGGTGAAACAAGCTGTCTCAGTGAAATGGGTGAACAGCATGACTGCTCCAGTAATATTTTTGCTCACACGTGACTTCGCCTGATTGTGTGTACCATGTAGGAAACTACATGTAGGGCAGATGCTAAGTACGGGCTCTTCAGGAAGAACGCTTTATTTTCACCATGTGCTTGCTGACTTACCTACAACATGTGATTCCGATAGGAATCACTGAAAGGGCTGAATAGCACTAATAGACACTCTACAAGATTTGCAATAGAGCTTAACCTTAATGAAACACTGTGTGCATAGTCTGGAAAACCAAGTCATAATAGCTTTTGTTCATGATAACTAAATTTACGCAGTTAAACATCAGCCAGATTTTTGGGTTTTCTAGCTTGCAAGCGTCTTTTCACTACAAGTGGGATGTTTTCGGTGTGGTGAAAGGGTAATTACTCAATTGAAAGAGATTGTTTTCTCATAAGTGTCCCTTTATTGTGCTTGACATTGTTTTATAATGATATATTAAACTTCAAAACGAGGCTCTCTAAAGGTTGTCATACAATTTAAAATGTAGCACAGGTGTTATGAAAACGCTTACTATCTTTTTGTTTTCCCTTTTCTGTTTCTTGTATTGTTGGCAGTCAGCAGTGCAAATGATCCTCCTAATGCAATGCATTTATGCTTTTGTGTTTGTATGTTGGCCATTTTCAGAGTACCTGGAAAGCTCAAGGCATTTGTAGATGACCTGTATTCTGGGAAACTTCATCGAGAGTTCCATTATGGCCCTGATCCCACGGTAGGAGGGGCTGAAACTGAAGCTCAGGTATGCTTCCAAATACAGTCAAACCTCAAAATAACGAGCCTCGATGTAATGATATTCACATTGTAATAGACTGTTTTTATTATGCAATTTAGATAAACAATGCTGTGTTAAAGTTTCGATTCAAATGAAATCTTCATGCATTGAATGGACACACCTGGCAATATCTTTGAAAAATGACATAGAAGAACATTGTTTGAGATAGGATTATATGCAACTTTTCATGTGTAAACATTGCAAGCTGCTAAAGAGTTTGACGGTCTAATCATGGGATGAATAATGTGAAAATGCCGTTGCATAAAAGTTGAAACTCTTTCCTGCAGACGCGTGTGGCACATACCCATATACCGTGGTATGTGTGTATGCGCCAGAGGTGTTTGACAGTTTATATCTACTGATGAACGGCAAGAACATACATCGCTAATTTAAATACAAAAGTGTTAAGAAAAAACATCGGCAGCTTTCACCTGATGAATGCAAAAAATAAATGTTATGGCCCCAGTAGGAATCGAACCCAAGCATTCTGCGTGGCAATAAAGTATTTTACTGCAGAGCCGTGCCAGGTCTCGGAAGTACTTTAGAAAAAGACCTATGCTGGCGTGATGTTGGTGAAACACCAATATTGGTTGCAGGGCTGCTCATCTAATTTTATAAACATTATAATGAGGGAGGCGTCGTGTCGGTTAGCATCAATTGTCATTAAGCACCATCCACTGAAGTTGGTCTTTGAGCACTATCCATGACTACCTTCCTCACAAGGACTACATTCTAACATACCGTTTTGGTGTTGCTAATGCCCACGTTGATATTGGCATTGTTGTGCAGTTGTAAACAACTGGTTATATCAATCATATGCCACTCTTCAACATGCCGTAAAATTCAGAGCAAGCACCTCCCCCCATGGAAGTTGAAATTTCTAGCAAAGTTGTGTGTGTGTGGGGGGGGGGGGGGGGGCGTCATCTTGGAATGGCACCAAAATTCAAGAGGCGGCAAAATTTTCACTCCAGAAAAAAAAAAAAAAAACGCCGCGTGCATGAATTCAAATTTTATTACAGTGAACTTTATTTAGGCCCAGAATTCATTGTAGCTTTTAATCACTTTTGAAACGTCAAAAGACTTCTCCGAGTCAATTGCAAAAAATGGGTCGCAGCATTCCACTTGATGCCTGCCGCTGTCTTATGGCACCACAGCTCCAATATCGGCCAGTCTGCTGTGCCTGTTGCCATCCTCCGAGCCATCGAGCGCGTTACTTATGCCACATCCGTTCAAGGATCGTGCCACTGTCTCCTCAGGTACAGCAGCCCGCGCCTTGGCAACAAAATCGAGCACATGTTGACGTGACAGGTTCTTCAAGTTTGCTTTTGGTGTTCATGCTTCTTCACGCATATACTGCTCCCACAAATTCCGCAAGGTGGACTTAAACAGCTTATTTCAATACACGTCAGCAGGCTGCAGAATGCTCATGCACCCCGCAGGCACGTAAAAGCATGTTTGTGTCGTACTCTTCGAAGGAATTTCTGGTGTCTTATGGATGGGCACCTTGTCCAACACTAGTAAGTGCCGTACGTCGTCGGTGTTATTCAGCTGTTTTTTGTGCCAGTGAAACGAACATTTGCTACGAATGAGAAAAAAGTCAGCTTTGTGATAAAATGAACTAAGCGACAATGTGACCCTTCGCCCGCATAAAAAAATGAAGTTATTCACACCTGGTATGCAAAGGCCCGCAAAGGCCTTGGCTGGAATTTTTCCACTTTGCTCCTTGAAGATAAGGCCGGGAGCTTGTGGCCGTTGACACAAGCAGCTAGGCTAACCGTGAAACCTCGCCAGGCACATCCAGTGTTCGCAATCAATATGGGGCTTTCGCGAACCAAGTTGTTCGCCCTGTTGGCGGGGTTGTCTATTCGAACCATCATCTCATCCATGTTGGCCATGTTATATAAAATGTAGGCATTGGGTCGTCGCAGCAAGTTCCCGGAAGACCAAAAGGCACTTGCTGCCTCTGAAAGTACATCAGGCGTCTTCTGGCTCTCGTTCGTAGTGCGGCGCATTGCAACGCCGTACTGCTGTTTTCAGCAATTTATGTAATGGCTAGAGGCTACGAAGTTTCCCAACTGCATGCTGTTGGCAATTTTGATGGCCTCTTCGGAAAGAATCCGGTTGGTGACGGCTCGTCCTGCACATTTTTCACGGTCAAGGTACTCGAAGGGAGGCATCGTTCATGTGTTCGCTGTACACTGGTGCGCCATTACTGAGCTTCCTTTGAAGTTTTGCTTTTCCACTGTTTAGCTGTAGCAAATTGTCGAACTTCTTCTCCCATTCCCGTATCTGCTTCCGGTCCAGCTTGTAATGTTAAAACATCTGGTGAATGTTCTATTCGTCTTCTCGATGCCATTGAATAACTATTTTCTTGGCCACTGTGTAGAACTGCATAGGCATGGCGGAGCAATCGGGCTGCAGTGCAAAGCAGGATTGGATTGGATTGGATTGGATTGAGGAGGGGGGCTTGCTTGGAATTTCACAGGTTGGGGCACTTGCTCGGATGTTTTCAGTATATGTCTGTACATACAACAAACATTAGTGCATATGTTTAGCGTCATTTCGTAATGTTAAGCTCAACCAAAAAATTACACTTCAGTCACCTTTCCTCTACATGCTTCACATGACATCGATTGGCATGGTACGTGGGATCTGCCGAATTTTTTAATATTAACTTTTTGGCCAGTTGCGCACTTAAAAAGAACTGACATAATTTCTTTTTGGTGGTGTGCATGCTGCACGGTGAATATTTTTCTACTTTAAAAGAAAGCCTGCGAAATATAATATTGTGTGACTGCACTCATGCGCTGATGTACTGCAGTGCTTCCCAATCTGCTTCAAGCAAAACTGTGATATCACATGTTACATGGAATGACATATGTGAATGATGCTAAGTTGGTTAGTGCCTTAGCATACTTTGGTCTTTTGACTTCGCCATACACTTTAATTTGAAATGTGTTCTTTATCAATGTCAGGAGGTAGCATCAACTGTCAAAGAATCGAAAAAAGAAAAAAAATGCATAAGCCTGTAGCGTTTGGCAGGTTTATAAAATCTTTGGGACATTATTCTATCAAATGGGCATTGTGCAGAACGTCACCATTAAACTCTGTCAGTGCAGTGCGGATGTCAACATGGTGATACCTTGCCGCTTATATTGAAGTCGGCTTTGCTTGGTATTCTTGTGTGATTTTTGCTCTGACATCTCTCTGTATGCTCGTACTTCGTGCATTGATGTGCAAACTGCCACAGAGTGTTCTAGATTCTAGAAAGTGATGTTGGACACGTACTATACAAAATTTTTTTCTGCACTGTTCAACAAAGTAATGTTTATTTGCAGGCTACTGATCCGCCCGAGTCTACATTCAAGAACTTGGCTCCATCTCGGCAACGATACACTATACTGAAGGATGAACTGTAGCAGAGCTATCAGGAAGAAACTGTACAGTCCGACTAATGGTCACTGCATTTTTCTAGGGTCATGAGATGTGAGGAGTGTGGTTATTGCTAAGCTTATGGCAGTAAACATTTCTTAGTGCTTTGTATATTTTTTTTTCTTTCCTTTAAGAGATTTGATTACAGGCCTGCTGCACTGAGCACAAAATGGTTTAGAAAGAGAAATAGAAAATCATGTTTTAGAGTGTTGTCTTCAATTATTTTTATGTTTACTACTGCCGACAGGTGCTGTGATTAAGATAGTGTGATTTTGGCAATGTACTCATGGACTACATGCCCCTGTTTCATTCCTTCAATTCCATTGGCTTATGCTCATTTTTAAAGAGTTTTGTTTAATACATCTCCTTTGAAGTTGTTGAATTGGCCACATGTGTCTGTTTTGTGCAATATTTGTTGCAAAATGATAGGAAGCCATGGCTATTCTCGTTACTATAAAGTGCAGCATTTGGCTGCACTTTGGTTTTCTTAAGGCGTTTGGTTTTTATACTTTAGTGCAGGAACCACATTGCGTCCATAGCATTTTTTTATTATTAATTTCGGGTTATTGTTGCAGATGTCAGTTGCGCCGTTTTGCCTGTTTTTTCTCCCTTTGTTGTTAGCGAACCTGTCGTTATATGCATATTTATATAAAGCATGCGGAGACTCTGCAAAACACTGTAAAAAATAGAAAAACAAGCAGCATGAAAGGCTGTACTTGTTTTTGTACAGAGTTCGTGTTTTATACTTCTAGTGCACCAGTTTAGGCTGTGCTGAATGGAGGCTTAGGATGTATTATTTGTTCCTTACAGCAAACTTTTAACATTCTGATACACGGCATAGGCAATGAAATCGTGAAATGTAATAGTGATAAAGAAACAAGTGATGTACTTTTGCAATTTGCACGTACAAAAGAATAATGAATGTTTCGATCTAATACTGGGCTGTTCAGTAGCATTGGAATATTGATTACTCAGTGGTATTATTGGTGGTTATTCATTCTTTATAGTTTCTTTTTTTTTTTTTGTCTAAGAGATCAGGTGCACACATGCATAGGGCAGGAGTCGTTTAGCCTACCAAAGCTGCCTTGCTTCCATTCAGTGTTTCTTTGTGAGAAAGCACGACTGTTTCTTTGCAGTAACAGAATAACATATCATTATCCATTCATTCTTCTTATTTCTTTCTTTTTTTAATCTTAAAGATGTGTAACAGGCACTCATTGGAGCTTTGTAAGAATTCATCTGACAGCTTTGGCTTGTTATTAGGTAGCTCTGTCTTCTCCTGTTATAGAAGCGATTTCTTAGTTTCCGTCTACCAAAACTAATCATTTCACTTGTACACAGACTATTCTCGAGCATAAACAGTGTAGTTATATGCAGTACTTTCTATCACAACCCCCAACACCTTTTTTTGATCGACGTAGTTTAAGTTATCAGCAGCACTCTTATCATTTTCTTGAACTTTCTCAATTTTCAGGGCCACAGTGGCCTTGTGCTAGAAAGCATAAGCAAAACTAGATGCTACAGCAAGATTTTTCATCTGCCAAATGCGCAGTGAATATCTGACACAGTTGTGAAGGGGAGCTTGGATAAAGATTCCTATTGCAAAGCAGTTATTATGCTGTTACAGTCGGGGATCTACTGTCACTTCTCAATGACTTTATGTAATGTACAAATCGATGCAGGAAACTGCATTGGGTCAAGTGAGACTTTTGTTTTCATGCCAACTTGTATTAATTCAAAATAGTAATATAAGGAAGGAATTGCACTGTCTGTAGTGGTCTAGAGGTGATCACCCTTGTCTCTGTTACAAATTAAAACTGCCCAGCATTGGTTATGAGAAGGCAAATGAGCATAGCTTGCTCTGGCTCTCTGCTTTCAGAGAATGGCTTATCGCAGTTAGAAGTCTGACTTGATGCTTTGGTGGTCACATCATCTCAGATTGCGTCTATTTTGTATATGTAGCCAGTGTTAAGTATGGCTCTATTGGCCATTTATATGGTGTGGTGAAGAAAGAGGCTTGCAATTGTGGTTCTCTGGCCAGGAACACTGTTCCCCCTTCTCTTTTTTGAATGAATGTGGTTTTATGCTTGCTGGGCACACGGTCACTTTGTAAGATAAGGAAAACTTGGGATAATAAATGTTGGGGGCTTATTTAGCAGTTTCGCTTGTGTGTTAGCCACTTATATTCATTAACTCCCAAGTCCTGTGCTTTTTCACTTATCTGCAAATTACAGCAGCTTTGGCACGAGTATATCTAACATTCAATTTAGCATAATCATTGTTCCACAATTGGGTGCGAGGACATACCGTGGCGCCATTATGCGAACGCATCCCTGTGACGTACGTGGTTGGATTGCTCCGCCAGCCCTTTCGCGCGCAGCCCGCAGCCGCTTTTGCCTCTCCTTTTTTATTCTTATTCTTGTTGTACTTCACTAAAGGGAATCAAAAAATTCTGGCGCAGCTTCTTTACTGACTGTCCGAAATGCTAAATAACTGCTCCGGAAAAGTTTCATGCTTCTCATAATACCCGATGGCCAGCGTCGTCTGCTATGGCCACATATATGAAAACCACGGTGGCCGAGCGGGCTGCTTTTGTAAAAGGTAACTACTCAATCTGTGCCGAATTGAAGCATCAAATGGATATCCACGCGTGCTTGCGGCAAAGAGACTTCTTTTTGCTGAAGAAAAGGCGCGCAACCACGCTTCTCCATTCATTGTATAGGTTTGTATCTAAAGACAGGTCACAGTTGACGCGACAAGGATGCGCAAATTAGCGTTATTGTTTAGCACACATAGCCTTACGAAGCACAGCGCAAGTGTATTCCCCGCTTTGTGAAGTGCAACACAGCGTTCTTACAACCGCAATCTTTCTGTTAAGATACCGGGCAAACGAGTGAGTCACACGCACACGCGTGCCTCATTCAGAGTTGTAAGTAAAGGTGAAATTTCACTAAAGGAAAAGTTTATCTGCAGCATGATCGTAATATTTATTGCGAAAATTACGTACGGTTGTCACACGGTGCGCTTTCGAACGCCATTAAGTTCACATATGGGTGAAAATTATTAATGATGCCACCCGGAGGGGCACAACGCCTGCTCACTCATTCCCTCCTCCCGAAAGAGTGAGCAGGCGTTGTGTCCCTCCAATGGGCAGTTGATGATTGATTGATATGTGGGGTTTAACGTCCCAAAACCACCATATGATCGAGAGACGCCATAGTGGAGGGCTCCGGAAATTTCGACCACCTGGGGTTCTTTAACGTGCACCCAAATCTGAGCACACGGGCCTACAACATTTCCGCCTCCATCGGAAATGCAACCGCCGCAGCCGGGATTTGAACCCGCGACCTGTGGGTCAGCAGCCGAGTACCTTAACGGGCTTGGTGTGCCACCCCCTGGCTACACCATTGGTGGACGGAAACCCGTGTGGTCGAGTACACACGCGGGGACCGACAGTCGGGGAGGAGAGTTGGGGTGGCGCAGACTGTATTAGAAGTTACCTTGAAGAGAGAAGTAAAAAAAGAGCACACTGAAGCGGCACATGTATGATGTTGATGCAAGAATGAAGGTTTCGACGAACGCACCCGCTAAACATGCAGAAGCAACTGGCCACGATATAGACTGCAATGTGGTCAACTGAACTTAAGGGAAAGAACTCGAATTCCGGGCTTTATATTGACTGATAGTTGAGACGACGGTGCACATTCTGAAATGTAATGACGGCGACTTCCCCCACATGTACGCACGCACGTCGTATTTTAAAATATACATAATCGGACTGTTTGAGCATTCATTTTACCTTGCGAACGAGGCTCCCGTGCAGCAGCTGAAACGTTCTGTTTTCAAGTGAACGATTGTGGTCGGTGCTCATTTTAAACTTATGGGCTTGAATTAACAGCCACAACATCATAAAAAGATAGAGGTGGCAGTGGTACAACCAGCAGCCATGACAGTGTCCTCGCGTACGTATAGCGCGCTGTGGCGCACCGCCGATAACTTTTGTTGCAACTTTCCGGATTTTGTAGTCTGTAGAAGTCGGCACACATGAAGTGAGGGCAGAGCAACGCTGTCCAAAAGTGAACACACCGCTAATTCGCCATTAAAAACAATGCACCGAACCGCCAGCTTTCCTTCGCCTGAGCGAGGCGATATCATGTGATCCAACCCTGCACGTCACCGCGATTGCAGCGCTCGCTCCTCCAATGGTGGGCCTCGGGCCGAATATGGTATGTAGTAAAAAGAAAGTAAATGTGTTCAGCATGGTTGTTAGGGTGATTGTGCTACTATGTGAGAGTGTAATGTAAATTTAAGGATTCGCACCTTTACTTATGTAGGCAATTGGTGAGTAAGAAGGTATTCTGCAAAAAAAAAAAATGGAAGAAAAAGGGGGAGAGGAGGTGCACCCACCGAACTCAATTCAGCCGATTTGCCATTGTGGTCTCTCATTCTCTTCCACCTCTACTTTCACAGTTGCCTTCATCTGCTTCGTTAGGATTGGAGGAGAGGGTGCGAAGCATACACACACAAGCGTTAATTAAATGAGAGTTCTGTTTCTTGGGCTTGTGAACATGGGCTAAAGGATGGCACACAGGCTCTCTTCCGTCTATGTGTTTGTGCATCTTCCTTTAGTCTGTGTTCACTAGCGCTGCCCTTCCAAGACTAAAGAAATCAGTTGCAGCCTTGAACAAGACAAGTCCACTTGTCGAAATATCGGCTCCAGCACCTACCCCCTCAATGAATTTTCTATCTTCAAGTTGGTGATTTATAAGGTGGTTATAAAGTGTTTGTTTAAGGCGCGTTTACACTAGAGCGACACGACACTGACATGAACCCGACAAAAACACGGGGCAGACGCAAACCATCGGCCGACGAAGTCACCAGACCCCATGCTCACAATAGGCCAACGACGCTGACGACACCTCAAGAGACACTTCATCGTAGTGTAACATGATGAGACAGAAAACCCCAGCAAAACGCATTCGCAGACCTGTCGTCGACGTCTGAGCGAAAATTCGCCCAATGTCTTTGCTTCAAACAGCCACGAAGCGGGCAGTCTTGGAGGAGTTAACAATACCCTCTCCGAGGCTTCCGCGGCGTCTGAATAGGCAGCTCGAGCACCCAACAGAAGTCTTTTCTTCGCTACCCTATTGTGTATCTCCAACCCCGTCCCTCGTTACCATGGATTATGGCGGGGGCTGCACCACTTAGCCGTAGAAAGACAATGGCAGAGCGGGGAGCATGGCTGAAAATGGGTTGCAGGTGTGCAAGTTTAGTCGGTGTCGCTGCGTGTGCCTCCATTTTGACTACAAAATCGGCCAACGAAATACTGTGAGCACGACAAGGCGCAAGCGGGGTCCTCGAGAGACCACCTGGGGACTGTTTGTGTCTTTGCAGTGTACATAGGCTGACGACAAAATAAAAAATACTCCTAAAAACAGCCCGCCGACCAAACTAGGTGTCGTCTCTCTATGGTGTAAACATGCTTTAACTAGTCATTTCAGTACAACTTTAGCAGTGGGTAAGTACTTCACCTCGATGCAGAGTTCATCGTAGAAGACGACAGGTCACTTATTTTCGCAGCACTTGAAAAAATCTAGATTAGAATTTGAGTGCGAGGTCACAAATATACCTTTTTCCCCTTTGTATTTTCACCACATTCCCCAAACTTGGTACGTAAAGCCTCTGGACACCTCGGAGGACCATATTCTTCATGTTTGCTGATTAACTATCATCTATGATGTCAGTGGGAGTTCGTGCAGAAATTTCAGTGTGGCATCGACAGCTGCTTTTTTTTTTGTTGACTGTTTTCTCGCTCACGAAGTGTCTTCTCGCTGCTAGAGTGGTGTTGCCGCATTGCAAGACGGTAATTTATTATTCGCGAAAATTAGCTTTTTCTCATTAGGTCTGCTTTAAGCTGCATAACTGGATAGCAGCAAGCAACGAGAACAAAAAGCAAGATACCTGTCAGAAAATCGATGCGTTGAATGTGTCCTTGCTTCAGCTTTTTATTAAATGGCGAGCAAACCCAAGATCCAGGTCGCGGGTTCGAATCCCGGCTGCGGCGGCTGCATTTCCGATGGAGGCGGAAATGTTGTAGGCCCGTGTGCTCAGATTTGGGTGCACGTTAAAGAACCCCAGGTGGTCGAAATTTCCGGAGCCCTCCACTACGGCGTCTCTCATAATCATATGGTGGTTTTGGGACGTTAAACCCCACATATCAATCAATCAAACCCAAGATCAATTCAAACAAGCTCTGGGTTTAAAGACGCGAAGAATTCATGTTAAAAAATTTGGTAGAAGTGCACCAGAAACACCGACTAGAAGAAGCAGACAGGACAGCGCTCTCCTGTTTGCTGCTGCTAGTGTTGTTCTAGTGATTTTTAATGCTGTTCAACCCAATTTTCGAACGTGAATGTAAACCAACTGGCCCAGTTTTGCCACCTTGCTGCATGAAAAATTCCAAGTCCTGGGACGCCGGTGCCATGATGTATAACATGAGTCGAGAGCTAAGGTACCGCCTAACCGCAAACTATGGTTATTACGCATCTTACGTACGAACAACTCGGTTAATCTGCGCTCACAATAGGTGACCGGTAACATGGGCAATCGCAGGGAACTGTGGGAGACGACGGCTTCCGGTTTGATGCACCATGTGGGTTAAGGCGCGTTTGTTCTAAAGAGACAAGGCACCGATTTTGGTCTGCGGGCTGTCGTTAGAAGTGTCTTTTCTCTTGTCGTCGGCCTATGTACACTGCAAAGACAATTCGTCCGCGGGTGGTCTCTCCAAGACCCCGTCCGTGCCTTGTCGTGCTCGCAGCCTTTCCTTGGCCAATTCTGTAGTCACACTGGAGGAACACGCAGCGACACCGACTAAACTTGCATACCTGCACCTTTTTCAGCCATGTTCGCCGCTCTGCCATTGTCCCTTACCGTTTACGCGGTGCAGCCCCCGCCATAATCCATGCTAACGAGGGACGGGGGTGGTGCACACAATAGGGAAGCGAAGAAAAGACTTCCGTTGGATGCCCGAGCTGCCTATTCAGACGCCGCGGAAGTCTCGGAGAGGGCATTGTTAACTCCCCAAAGATTGCTCGCTTCATGGTCGTTTGGAGCAAGGACATAGGGTGAATTTTCGCTCAGCCGCTAATCTCCCAAAGA